CATTCCTGCAGCTTGCATTTTAAGGATGTACAGGGAAAAAAAAAATTACATATTTTTGGAAATATTCATGAAAATAATACAGGATAAGGTACAAAATCTTTTTATTGCTAAATATAGTCACAATTTTGTTGCGTCAGCCTCTCAATATAATGCATGGTGTGCAACAGATGGACACTACTGGGAAGGAATATTCTTTGCCAGGCACCCATCCATGTGGGTTTTCCTACCTAAATTCATTCTTTTATGCTTATGCAATAAGCTGATGTGATTTCTTTAATATTTAAGTATTCAATTCATCGTGGGCCTTTTAGCAAGTGATTCCACTGTAGCAAACCAACCTTGATAATTCTGCTGTTGTACTTTGTATTCTTAAGATTTCATGGATTTTATGCTATTACATAATTCAAGTTTTTAATCTATCTCAGAATTTTCTTGCCTTATTTTCATTAAATATCGTAAAATTCTCCACTTTCCTATGATGTGTCATAAATGTCGTTAGGTATTCAGAAGTAAAAGTTTCACTGAGATTTTTTTTACATGGTGATATGGTTAATAATAGCTACATGAAACTCATAATTTGTCAAATGACTGTTTGGTAGTTTGCTGTATTAGTTATTAGTGATTAAAGTACTCTCCAGCCGGTGGTGGTGTATTTGTCAGGTGTTGCTAATTATCAGACATAAATCCTGAGCACCGACTTGGAGAGGATAGCAGGTTCTAGTCACTTCATCAACAAGAACTGAAGTAAACTATCCTGAATTAATCCCAGCCTTAATCAGCCTTGGTCAGAGTATGCCTGTGAGTGAGGTTAGGCAGGCAGTAAAAGCAGAAAGCGCTCTGGAGATGAAAAGTGGTATCCTCTTTAGTGGACTAGAGAGATGGCAGGACATGGGAAATGTGAAAAGGCAAGGAAGACTGAAGAATGGCCCATGGCAATGGGCAGGTGTGGCAGGTGATCCTAGGAATATCCTGAGCATTAGCAGTGTGGGTGTTTGTTATATCCTCCATACAGGCTGTTTTTTCTGCTGTTTGTCTTGGCAGCCAAGCATGACTTGCTACAAGGAGGAAATCTTTGGGCCCGTGTTAGTGGTTCTGGAAGCAGACACTTTGGATGATGCCATTGAGATGGTGAACAACAACCCCTATGGAAATGGAACTGCAATCTTCACCACCAATGGAGCCACAGCTCGGAAATATTCTCACTTAGTAGATGTGGGTCAGGTATGTTCAAGCTAGAATTGTTGCTGTTAGTACTCACTATGTGGAGTGGTTAGCCATCCAGCTGTAGTGACTAATCACTGACTACTTGGCCAACAGTACCCAGCCTCAGATTTAAGGAAACAAAATGTGGTAGTTTTTGGAGAGTGGTCTGCAATCTGCTACGTCTTGTGATTAATATGGCAGCTTTCCTTTGGTTTAGGTGGGCGTCAACGTTCCGATCCCAGTACCTCTGCCCATGTTCTCTTTCACCGGTTCTCGTGCTTCTTTCAGAGGAGACACCAATTTCTATGGCAAGCAGGTAACTTACTGATTCAGAGTACTCTACTGGGCTGGATTATGATAAGTCAGATTATAAATGGCAATGGGGATGTGGTCATCAGACCTCATTAGTAAGGAGATTTTGAAGCCATCTCAACCAGGAAACTGATGACCAGCCAGTGATCACAGCCACCATAATACATGTTACAATCCCCCCCCCCCCCCCCCCCCTTTAATATAAAAAAGCAAGTCTTTTTTGGGGGAGACTTGAGAAGGGAGGAAGAACTAAGTAGCAAGCTTTCTCATAGAAACAGAATCTTTGGGGAACTGGTAAAAGGAGCAGGCTGACAGGGATTGTTCCCAAGAGGAAAACTCAGCCCTCTGTAGATACAGGAAAAACTGCTTGATACACCACTGGTGCAGACATGAAGAATTCATAAGGCCAAACATCTGATCCATGTGTCTCTCCTTTCCTCCAGGGAGTGCAGTTCTACACACAGCTGAAAACTATCATTTCTCAATGGAAAGAGGAAGATGCCACCGTCACCAAGCCTGCTGTGGTTATGCCAACTATGGGAAACTAAATCTGCCTTTACAGATGCTTTTCTTGTTGCCCTTCTCCTTCTGTGCTGCACTTTCCAGCTTTGTCCTGACTATCATCATTTCCTTGGGAATGAATAGAAAGCTCCATTTTCTCAACAGCCTCTGTTTCCGCGCAGATCAGGCAGGCTCACGTAACATACAGTCTGGGGTTTCTGCTGCTGTCAGTGGTTTTTGGCTAGCCGAACTGAAATTTGTTCCTACAGCCTATCAGAGATGAAACAACCTTATCTAATTGAAAGGGCAGACAGTGACATTGGTCTTAATTTGTGTTTCTTTCCAGACCCTCTGAACTTGAACATCACTCTGGTTTCCACTTCAACATCTTTAGCCTTAGTGACTCACTCCTGGCTACATCTTGTAGCAGTTTTCTTTACCTCTTTATCTTACATGTTGAGATTTTTGACTTCACCTTACTCAAAGATGAGTATCATTTTGAGTGACATAACTGGGACACCTTGGGTGTCTCATAGAAGTGACTTTACATACAATGAAGACAGCAAATTTGGGAGTTGACAATGTCAGTCTTTCATCTCTTGAGCAGTTTCCAAAACAGTTGGGAAGTAGCTTTCTCAGGATTTTTCAGGAAAGCATATTTGATTGCTTGTCTGAGGATGAAAGAAATTGATGTATGGTACAGCGACCTTCACTGTGCCTCTGACAGCTTGAAAACTTCTGATCCTATTGTGCATGTGGCTTGTGTTCTCCAGCTTGCTGTCAATTCTGATACACCTGGAAGTTGTTTGGTGCCTTTTCACTGTGCTAACAGATATGTGCCTATAGGTCCCATAACGTAACAAAACTGTGGAAGCAGAAACATAAGCTTGTGTATGTATCTTCGCCTCACAGCATCATGTGGGTCTGGGTGGAAGGGAGAATAAGTAGGTAAGTAGGAAGAAAGAACGCAGTTTATCATCACAAAGCAGCCAGGCCTGTTCTGTTGGGTCCTTTTGCTGACTATAGCTGTATTTCTTGTGTTGACTCCTTGTCACATTTGCTCAGAGTCGTGTTCTCTGGGGACTGCAGGTCCCATTACTAGAGAAGGATAAGACTTTGTGTACCCTGTTTTTAAGAATCTCTGCATTTGGAGCTGGAGAGCCTATATTTTTATCCCTGGTTCCTGGAAGATGATGCAGCCATGAGGGATCCACAGGGAAGTCATTCAAGCACCCATGGAAAATATTATTCTAATGATCATAGCCATTACTAATTTTAATTAAACAACCTGAATGTGAACACTTTGTATCCTGCTTTCTGGTAAAGATGCCTTGTAACTGACAGTTATGTATTAGTGCAATTGCTGTGGATTCACTAATGTTTGTATTTTGTTTTTTTCCTCTGCTATACTCTAGAGGGAAATTCTCACCTTGCAATTTGATTATGAATTAAAAACGTGCTAATAAATTTCTGCAGAATATGACTGTTCCTTGATAAGACATTATATAGGTGTGACGTTGACTTTGTTCCCCTCTTTGCAGAGGCTAGTCTGTGACTCCCGTAACCCATGTATACATCTTCCTTTTACAGTATTTCAGGGACCTCTGTACCAATTTCCTGAT